TTTGGATGGTAGCTTAATACTCCAGTGCGTATCAACAATATTTTTTATCGTACAGGAAAAGTCATGAATGGCTTACTAGCTTTTTATTGCGTGAAATTTTTCACAGAAATGGCTTGCTTAACGCTGAATCATCAAGAGAATATCTCCAGAAGAATTAATATTCCTAAACCCGTAGACAAATTTCCGACTGGCAATGTAGGACCAACCACTACATGGACATCTACTTGTACAGATAGTCACCGACCAGGCAGTGCTTCGTCCGTTTTACGCTTCACGACTTCATCCTACTATCAAATGATAATCTCATTTCATATCGTTATAGATATTAGATCTGGCTAATCTTCTACGCTATTTTTAAAAGCGAGAGATAGATATGATTTCTATTAATGTTCCTAATATCTCCGTGCGGATCAGAATGAGCCAGGGTTTTTCTCTGTCAGAAGCTTTTAACAATTTATTTAATTTTAAAGCGAAAAATTGTTTTAAAGTAATATTCACCCTCTACAAGCCCCAAGAGCCACTCGAGGTAGAAGATTACACTGCAAGAAGCAGAGTTTATGGAGATAAAAGGTGTAATAAAAAAAGTATCGGGAGTGTTGCTCTGGTATCGGAGCTAAAGTAAGCAGAGGCAAGACCCTTGACCTCGAACTCTTGTCGCGCTTACACATCTAGTTATAACGTTCTCAGTCATTTCTCCTGCTTATAGCAGTGCTTGGAAGGAAAGTGTGTAGAATGTTGTTGTCTTACCACACCATAGAGGTTCCATCAGTGATTATGGCTTGTGCAACATTTTTTGCCTAAGCGCAACGTTATCCAAGCCCAACATATATTTCCCAGTTCACGCCCCTTGCAGCGTCTTCCTATCAAATATCACGTTCCACTTGAAAGGGACAAGATTTCAAGCCGCCGAGGAAATCCAAGACAATGCGACAAGGCAGCTGCTCACTATCCCCAAAAAAGAGTTCCAGGAATGCCTTCATCGATGGAAACGACGTTGGATTAAGTCAGTGAATTCAGAAGCGGACTACCTCGAAGATATGCCGAATTGATATATAGTTTTCTTTTTAACCCTCGTATATGTTGAAGATAACGGTTAATCCTAAACTTGAACAGGTTAAGATTATATGGCTCGGGGAAAGCATCCACTTGGGAGTCGGTTTTTCACAATGTAGTGGGAAGAATCTAGTTGAGTGGAACTTACATCTCATTGTTGGAATACGAAGGGAATTACGTGATTCGCTACATTGTGCTTGGTATGGGGGGCTCTTAGCTATGAAGTTTAGAATTGATAGAACCCTGAACAATTTCCGTGGCAATAGCAATAGAGCACAGAGAGACTGGTTTTTTCATCGTCCTTTACTCTTAGCAGCGATTAGATTGAGACTTTCTGAACTGGGATGGACTGATACCAGTTTACGGACAAGAAATACTTTTCATTTCACGAGGCGGATTCAGTTTTATGTGACATGGATATTCTTAACATATTTGACGATTTTCCAAACACGAAAAACTATGTCCATTTATCGCTAGCAGATTGAATTAAGTCATTTTTAGAAACCGATTTTGTACAAGTAAAATGCGTTATTTCATTAGAAAACTAAACTGTCTGTTATTGGGAATATCCATTAATGTTCAACCAATGTTCTTGATATTTTAGTCAATGATGTAGTCAAGAGAAGAGATATTATTTAGCAAGAATTTTTAAGGAATTGGAAATAAATCGAAACGACAGTCCAGTGCTTTGCTGCATTCTGTTAAGGATTCTTCTAGATTCGATGAATTACTATATGGTTATTCTAATAATTCAAAATTCTTTCACTTGTATAACCTCGCTTGGCCCAGCTAATCTTCTGCGATGGAGTGGCTAATTGGAAAGGAAAGACGTTGCTTTTGAGGCACATCCCTTTGGGTATATGGATACTTGGTTGATTATCACCACGGAATTTGTGAGTAGCGGCGTCATATCGAGTCTATTCAGTTTCTTCTTTGTGGTCCATTGGTACAATTTGTATGACGCCTACGTTATATCGAAACGGTCCGGTTTCGATTCTCGGTAGCGGATGCGCACTGCCGATGGTTCCCAAGTGGGACGAAACGCTCGTCCAGTGCTTTCTGCATTCAGTTGAGGATTCTTCTAGGCTCGGTGAATTACTATATGGTTATTCTAATTGCATAAAATTGTTTTCTTTATCGCTCTCTCTCTATATATATATATGTGTGCGTGTGTGTAATTTTAATTTGAGCAGCAATCTCTCTCTTATACAAATTATGGTCAGAGAGGTGTCACTTACACTTCTCTGACAATAGCTAAATTTGGACTCATTTAAAAACACACGGATTCCTACCACAATCTATGAACAATGTAAAAATAACAAAAAAATAATGGAAGTTCTAATAATAAAAAAGAAAAAGTCAAAAAGTGACAGTGTTTGGAAAAAAAATGCCATCACTCTAGAAACTTATATACTAAATCCACACATTTCGATAAAAAAAAACCCAAACATCTTTGACAATGACTAAGATAATAGGTGAATGTTCTTGGATATATAGAAATTTCTTACAGTGTTTGTACACTTTAGGTCCAGAAAAGGAAACACTTTTACGAACACAAGAAAATTGAATAAGAAGCTTAATTATATTTTATGATCCGTACGATACAATTTAAATACTCTTGCTTTTCTCCTCCCTTTCTATTGTGCGTTGCGCATTTATCTGTTTTTAAATAATAAAGACTTAGGAAATTATTTAGCCCGAAGATGCCAAAAGGTTGAAACCAAAGTAGCGTGATCGGCTGAACACCTAATTTATATATATATATATATATATATATATATATATATATATATATATATATATATATATATATATATATATATATATATATATATATATATATATATATATATATATGTGTGTGTGTGTGTGTGTGTTAGGGTATTAAATCAAAAACATGTATAAAATCGCTACACAATTGCATAACAATATTATTGGTCCTGATGAAGTCTCCGCTATGGTATCCAGAATTTAAGGGCAGTACTAGATTGGCGGCATTTTGAATTGACATGATTTAACTGTAGGTTCTATGCTAACAGTTTAATTACTCGCACTTCTCTCTTGAGGAACACCCTTTCAACTTCATGCTTTTTAAATATAAAAAACAACATCAATCGTTATCTACTGTCTTCCTGATTACTGTTCAGTTTTTATCGCTCCATAATAATGTTGCTGCTTTCTAATTCTTTAACACCCAGTAACCTGTTGTGGCTTAGTTGTTGTAATTTATTGTTAAAGAAGGCTGACGAATTACTTTTGCATATTTCTTTCTTATTATACCATTCTTAGTTGGAATTCTACTTGGGATTTTTATAAAAATAGCTTCAGCTTTATCTGATGGAACATTCTTTTAATAAATGTATATAGCGCGAACGGTGTGGGATAATCTGTA